TCTCAATATTTCCATCTATTCCTTTTCTCCCTCTTCTCTCCCCATTAATTACCTTCCATACTTGTTCTTCCGTTTTTGCTAATTTCGCCCATTCCGTCCATCTATCTCTTTCCTCTTCTTTCTTCCTTTCACATATCAACTCTGTATATTATTTCTTCACAACAATTTTAAGATTACTCTCTTAAAGTTGTTTCCATTCTTCGCTTTTACATTTTATTTATTTGTGGTTTACATAATAATTTCTGAACTTAATAATAAATTAATTTTTTAATGTTTAGATAATAAATTTATAAATTTATATTTGACTTCTGTTTTCAGAGCGATTGTGGGTTGAAGGGAGATTATGCGGTGTGTGAAAGTGGAGTAAGGGGTGGGTGGAGAGAGTGGAGAGCAGTGTGGAGTGAGTGGTGGGAGTGAGTGGAGGGAAGAAAAAGGTGGTGTGAATGAGGGGAGAGAGTATAGGAAGAGAAAATACGAGAAAGAGTGAGTGAAAGGTGGAAGAGGTTAGGAAAGCGGGTACAGACAAGGAGAGTGGAGAGGAAGAGGAGGGGTACGGTGAGCGAGCCGCGCACGTAGAGTGAGCGGGATATAGAGAGGTGACGTAGTGGAAGGAGAGGTGGCGTGCGGGTGCTGGGGCAAGGAGTAGTGGAGGATATAGAGGAGTGACAAAAGGAAGAGAAAAGAGGAAGAAAAGCGATAAGCGGAGGCGAGGGACGGTACATAGGGAAAAGGGTGAATAAAGGGAGAAGAGGAATGGCGGATAGGGACACAAGGGAGGATGCAAAAGGGGGTAAGGTGGTGGAAGGAGGAGGGAAGGGAGGAGAGCGCAGAGGAAGTGGAGGGGTATTGGACTTGTGGAAAAGAAAAAGGGAGTTGATGGAGGAGATGGAGGTAAAGAGGGGGAGCAGGCAGAGAGGTTCTTTAAAAGGAGCACTAAAACAGCAAGGTCACCACAGGGGGAGTGGAAGAAAGGGAAAGGCCGGGAAAAGGAGACGGTGAAGAAAATGCTAAAGGGATGGATGGAGGATTTCAGAGAAATAGCAGATGGGAAAAAATGGAGGATAGTATAGAGAACATAATGGGGGAGCTGGAGGAAATAAAAAGAAGAGAGGAGGAATGGAGAAGAGAAAGGAAAGGGTTAGAGAAAATGGGAGGAAGGGACAGGAAGGAAAGGAGGGGAAAAGGAAATGGAGGAGCTGAAAAGGAGAGTTAGGAGACTGGAAGGTGGAAAGCATAGAACTTATAGTACATGGAAGGGGATTGCCCATAAGTTGAACAGAGAGATCCACGTTCGATATATCTCTCTCTCTTGCGAAGTTGATTTTCGCAATTACGTATGCGCGGCCTGCGTGCGCACCTTTTTGTTTGGCCCAAAAGTGAGGTTCACTTGAGTTTATTCTGAAAACGTGCCGACTTGCCGAGTGCGTAGTTTGAGTGAATAGTAAAGTGAATAATTCTCTGTAAGATGAGCTATTGCATTGCGTGCAATAATAAGGATAAGTTAGCTTCTTATATACGGTGAGTAAAAGTGAGATTGTTAATTTACTGTCAGTCCCCCAATAGGCCCGACAGATAAGCCACAATTTGGAATGTGCATGATTTTATAAATCTCAGTATTATATATTATATATATTTGTATATACACTCGACAGCAAAATTAAAGCATCGCCCATTCTGATCATTAAAAATAGGCAAATTTCAAGAGTGTAACTTCGTTAAAAATGATCGTATCGGAATGATCAAAAAAGCATTTCAAAGATTAAAGTCTCTACTTTCGACATCCATAATTCATTAAATTACGTACTGATTCTTTACAAAGCTGCATGGATGCAAATAGAGATGCATTAAATCTAAAATTTTTTTACCAAGTTTGCGAAGTTCCAAAAAGTAAAATCAAAATCACACGCAAATGAGGTTTACATCGTTCAAAAGCGTGAATCTTTAGCTTTAATTTGAGCACCCGGCCAGCATTGTGCGATTTTTTTTCACCGAGTTATTCAACATTGAAGCAAAAATGACCATTCAGTCGTCTTCTTCTTAATGTGTCACACAAATGCAAATCTGCGTAGATGTTCTTCGATATTTGTTTAAATTTCTCGATTGTTTGTAACGTTTCGAAGATTGTCATATTCATGCAGTCTGGTTCAGTGTCGTATATCGCACCCATGACAGTGTTTTTAAGACCAATTTCTTTTCGTCTTTCAATCTTGTCCTTCAGTATAAGTTGCAAGAAGCTTATCTTTTCTCACGAGAATGTGTCCAAGATAAGCTATTCTTCTTCTTTTAATGTTCCCAAACAGCTCCCGATCCTATCCAGTCTTCCAGATGACATCCTCATTTCTTATTCTTCCCTCCCACGATATCAAAATTGTCATTTCTCAAAAAACTTTTGAAAATTTTGAGAAATAATTTTTCTTTGTACTTGTTGATGTAAAAAGAGGTGATTTTATTGTAAATCTTTTGTATAAAGCATGTTTTGATATATTGAATAGTTTTTAAGATATAACGAAAAAAATTAAAAACCGCTTTACACAAGGGATGGTTTCACTCCTTAAAATCATTTTTGAGCAACAACTGCTATTTTCTAAATTTATTTATTTAAGTAATCTACATGTGTAAAAAGTTTCATTGAAATCAGAATTTTACATTTTGTTCAAGGTTCCTTTATTTCGTTAGGTGGATACTAAATGGGATACTAAATCTCATTATATGCATTCTCTTGAAATTCAGGAAATAAATAATCGATTGCAGTGATGTAAAAGACCCAATTTGCCGACGGAGAATTAAATAAACTGATTGTATATTAGAATAGATGTATTTATATATGTTTTTTTTTACATATTGCAGAGACTTTGAGAAAATATCCACCTGCTCCAATACTTAATCGCATTTGTACTAAAGAAATAGTTTTACCGACAACGAACATTCATTTGCCAAAGGGAACATTAATAACTATACCGGTATTTGGACTGCATCGAGATCCATCAATATATCCAGATCCAGATAAATTTGATCCTGAACGATTTAATACAGACAAAGTAACAGAAAGGCATCCTTATGCTTATTTGCCATTCGGGGAAGGCCCACGAAACTGCATTGGTAAGGACATGAATTAAATCATTAATGCATTCCATTTATACAGAATATCTCAGTATCGAACGATCAAACTGCGGAAGTATATTCTAGAAGTAAAAATAAGAAAAAAATATTACATAAAATCCGTTGTTTCTTACTTCATGCTCCGTTTTAATATTTATTTATGATCTTACGAGGAATTTATAGCCATACTTCATATAATATTTTTTTCTTAATTCCACTTGTAGGATATGCTCTCCGTTTGATTGTTAGACTCTGAGGCACCTTGTATTAAATTATTATTTAAAATTATATCGTCCGTTATCATTTTTACGCCTATTTTTTGTAATAATGATACTTAAATAAGCATTGAGGATTTTAACGTCAAAAATTCAATTAGACTTAAAAAAATGTATTCTGTTTATCGCAATAAACAATTTTATATTTGTTAATTAAATAATAAATATGATGAGAATAATAATAATAATAAGATTAAGTACAAATATATAATCGTTTAAAATATTTCTTTTGTTGTTATTATAACAACAATTGTTTTTATTAATTGCTATTATTGTTACAATAATGGCATAAACGTTTTATCAAGAAATTTTGAGAAGAGAAATATTTTATTTAACAAATTACATTTAATTTACAAGTGTTATTTTAAACATCATTTCTCCCTGTGTCTCTCTTCTTTTCTTTCAAAAATATTTAATTAATAAGTTGTTAACTTTGTGTTGCATAATTTTATTTTATTTTTATACAAAATATATTTTTAAGATTGTACTTAAGTAAAGCATTTTAATGCTCACTATTAGAATAAGTGATCATCATAAAAATGTTTTGCAAGTATATCATACATTAGAATCGTTAATTTTCAGGTATGCAATTTGGCTACTTACAAACAAAAATTGGACTTGTGAGTCTTCTGTCAAAATATAATTTCAAACTCCACCCTCGGACTCAGGTCCCGCCTATTTTCGACGAAAGATCTCTTCTTATTCTTTCGCTGAAGGGCGGTGTACACTTTATTATCGAGCCACGATAAAATAATCGCGCTTTTATACAAACTAAAAATATTTGTACTTGATGGATTCTAAATATATTACGTATGTTATTATGTATAATTATTAATATTTTTTTATGAAATAAGAATATCATATTAGATGTCATGTACAATAATCAAAATTGTTATAAAGCCAAATCCGTTTTATATGTTAAATTTGTTATAATTATATTTTGCTATTATCACATTGCGTATTATTATAAATAATCTAACAAAAACTCTTTTTGAAAAAAAGAAAAATGTTTACGCCCAGTATACAAAAAAGTATCGTACGTTACATCTTTCTCAAACCAAAAATACTTTTTTAACAAATTAAATTTGCTAAAAAACAAATATGAGATCATACAAATTGCCAAGTATATTTAGACATAGAGACAAAAATATTTTATTCCAGATCAAATATATTTCTTTAATAAACCGTTTAAACCATCTAAAAGTATATACAGGAAAAGTTTAATGCCAATGTCTTTTCAAATAATTTTCAATTTTATAAAACAGGCTTAAATAAGTGACTAAAATGACCAATGGTATCATAGTGAAGCAAAAACTTGGCGTGCTCGCATTTTATATTACATCTTATTAATTAATGCAAATCGATTAAATTTAAGCGTGCGGCCGGTTGGACCGGCTAATCTCGCGTTTTTGCAGATTTTTATAACAGACAAGTTTTAGATATAGACGCGTTCGCCAGCGCGGTTTTATCTGCATAAAGTTTAATTCTTTTATTCTTATGTTTATATTTGTTCTTTCAAAGAT